TGGATACGGCGGAAAAGAAAAGATTAAATGCGTTCGAAATGTGATTTTACAGACGAATGATGAGGATACCGTGGATAGAGAAGGTTAGAAATGAAGAGATATTAGAACGAATAGGAGAACAGACTCTATGGGGGTCAATAAAAAATAGGCGAGATAGGTTGGTAGGACATCTCAGGCATGAAGGTCTAGTCAGAGACATATTAGAGGCAGAAACAGGGGTTAGGAAAGTTAGAGGTAGACCTATATTAGATTACTATTCGCAAATAATTAAGGATGTGGGTTGGTCTAGTTTTAAGGAAATGCAAAGATTAGCTTAGGAAATAATGAAGCTGCGTGTCCAGTCAATCTTAGGACTAACGGCCTGATGATGATAATTATTACATGCTAAAATGGTTTAGTTTTCATCAGTCAAGTCAAGTTGAATTATACCATCACACTTCTTATCGTAAACACTAAATAAGCAATACATAAATTCTCATATGAATCTTTTTTGCAACGTTGTGCTGGAACTTCACATAAGTACATGAAAATTGTGACAACAAAAAACAAATTACTTGACATGCTCCTGTATGAACTGTAAAGCAAAAATTTTGCATTTTGTATTTTAAATTTGTTGTCACAACTATTTTACATTCAATTAGTATCAAAAACAGGGCTGAGTATATGTATAACTACGACTTATCCATTATATAAACTATTTTCTTCGTATAGTTGGTATTTAATAGTACCAACACGAAAATTACAAAGGTGATTTACATTCTACAGCAGCAGCAGTTGTAATTGAATAATATTACTACCTTTTCCGTTATGGCATCGTACTGAACAAAATGGTCGAAACGTCCTGAGAAACACCACAACATACAATTCTACCAATAATTATTTTAAAGAAACAAACGACTTTCATTACCGCGTGTTTCAGTAATTAATGTGGTGTTCTACACGAACAGGATGCCGCGCCAACTCGAGAACTACTTTCCGGGATAAATCACAATGACAACGACCCCAACTCTATGTAATTAGCTTTGTCGTGCTCTTGTTTCTTTTACACAGAAGATCCATGCTTATTATCATTGTTGCAGTTAATTCAAAGTGCAACGTCTTATTAAATGACTTATCAAGTCATTCATCTCAATGCTGCAAGCCTGGATAACGTTATTATTACTCGGGATACGAAATTATCTCTACCTATCTACTACCTGTTTTCTTCTAGTTAACAAATGCTATTTGTAACTGGCAATTGTGGAAATAATGAAGTCAAAAAAAAGTATGCGATGTTGAAAGTAAAGCAGTTGTCTTGTTAAATATAACTTGAAACAAAATAAGTTTACTACCTTTGGAAAGTAGATGGTTAATCTAAAAAAACCTAAAAAGTTGGGCAAATGTACTACGTACCAAGAAGACCGGATGCGGAACGCTGACGTGGGAAAATAACCCGTTCCCAGCAACATAGCTAGTCCATTGATAGGTAGTCACCGACACCATTGATGAGGATTATACGAGGGTGGATTGATAAGTTTCCGGCCTAACCAAGAGATGACGCCACTAGGCCTACCTTGAGGTGACATTCTATAGTACCATCCTTGGATAGCTTGTAGCTATAGTTTCAGCCCGATCTCCT